AAAAAAAAAATTTCCTCTTACTCTATCTCACTCTCCCTTGCAGACACTCTCACTTACCCAGTTTTTCTGTTTTGGCATAATATCTTTATCAAAATAGTATCATAATCGATTTATTCCTGTTTTGTATCATCCTTATTTTATCTTGCCATTTCTTTTCTCTCTCGTTCAAACTTTATGTCTCTTTTATTTTATTTTTTGCTCTCTTTCACTCACACACACACAGAAACACACTCTCACCCAATATATCTTTCTCATTCTCTCTCTCTCTCTCTCTCTCTCTCTCTCTCTCTCTTTCCCCCAACTCCCCTCTCGTTCACCGCTCTCTCCAACTCTCTCCAGCTCTGTTATAATTTCGTTCTCAAATATTTCACCGCAAAAAAAATATTTCCTCTTACTCTATCTCACTCTCCCTTGCACACACTCTCACTTACCCAATTTTTCTGTTTTGGCATAATATCTTTATCAAAATAGTATCGTAATCGATTTATTCCTGTTTTGTATCATCTTTATTTTGCCATTTCTTTTCTCTCTCGTTCAAACTTGATCTCTCTTTTATATTATTTTTTACTCTCTTTCACTCCCACACACACAGAAACACACTCTCACCCAATATCTCTTTCTCACTCTCTCTCTCTCTCTTTCTTTCTCTCCCTGTTTCCACCCCTTCATAAATAATTTCATTCTTCTCTCAACCTCATCCTCTTCTCTGTTTCCACCTATCACATTCGTCCATCTTTCTCTTTCTGGTTTGGCAAAATTCCTTATTCAACGTTTATATCAGAAATCATTCAGTCTTACTTAGCCATCATCCTCTTTCTCTTCCTGTTTATCTTTCTTTTGATTTCTCTATCTCTCTCCCTCTCTTTTTCTTCCTAGCACATACGTGGCAAAATTTCTTTATCAGAATTAATTTACTACCCTTTTTAACCACCTATCTCTTTGTTTTCTTTGTTATCTTGCATATGTTTTCTCTTTATTTATAGAACTTGAGAAACAATGCTAGGACGTGTTTTTCATTATTTCTTAGTTACCATCCCGCTTTAATGATTTTTCTCCATTCTGATCTATATTTCCCTCTAGCTCGCTCTCTCACTCACTCTCTCTCTCTCTCTGTCGCTCCAAACTTCCCTCTCTTTCTTCCACTCTCTCCAGCTCTCTCCAGCACAGTAATAATTTCGTTTTTTTTCGTACACACACACACACACACACACACACACACACACACACACACACACACACACACACACAGGAACACACTTTCACCCAATATTTCTTTCTCACTCTCTCTCTCTCTCTTTCACTCTCTCTCTCTCTTTCTCTTTCTTCTTTCTTTCTTTCATTCGTTCTGTACCTGTTTCCATACATTCATAAATCATTTCATTCTTCTTTCATCCTCACCCTCTACTCAGTTTTCATCTATCACTATTTTCCATTTTTCTCTTTCTGTTTTGGCAAATTTCTTATTGAACGATTTATCAGAAATCGTTTAGTCTCCTATTTAACCATATTCCTCTTTCTCTTCCTTTTCATCTTTTTTTATATTTTTTCCCTCTCTCACCCTCTCTCTTTCTTTCTGTTTCTTCCTAGCTCATTTGTGGCATAATTTTTTTATCAGAATTAATTTACTACCCTTTTTAACCATCTTTCTCTTTGTTTCCTTTGTTATGTTGCGTATGTTTTCCCTTTCGCTCTAGCTCTATTTTGGCGAAATAATTTTATCAATATTTTATAGTTAATAATTTACTAATTGCAAATAAGATAGTAAAAAAATGTCCGTCTATTTGATGATTTTATCACCGAATTGTATATATTCCTACGGTAATAAAAATATAAGTTGAAATAAATTTATTCCACCTAACTTTGGTTTTTAAATATTCTAATTACATCGTAGGGTTGACTTTTTCAACAAATTCTCCATCATTAAAAAATAATATATCGGACAGTTTTTTCTTTCTGCAAGGTGAAACGCCCCGGTATAACGAGGGATGTAGGCAGCGTTGGAATATGTATTTTATGCAAAGCGTCCTTCCTCCTCATCCGAATCTTCAACAGATTATTTCTTGGTCCTAGCTAGTTTCAGCGCTTTCTGCTCGGCTGGGCGCGTAACAGGATCATGCCATTACGAAAGTACTGAATGGCTTATGACTCGTAACGTTTTGATATTAATGTAATGTAGGTCGTAGCGGAAACAGCAAACACACACTCACATGATGTCAATTAAACACAAACTGATTCAAGTTTGAAAATTAGAATATACGACGTTTACACAATTGGTAAATAGTATGTATGTATTGACATGCTACATAAATCACGAATAAATAATCACTAGTATAGCTCACCACAAATTCACGCACGAATAAATCACTTATATACTAATTTAACTGGGATAAACCAATGTTGCATTAAAGTTTAATCATGATTCGTTGTGACAAGATTATTTTAAAATCCAGGAGCACTAGAAAACCAGTATTATATACAACCCTTAGGTACAATTTTTTTCCTGATTTTAATTTTTTTTAGAATGAAATAATAAATCTTTTGTAAACTGGCAAAACTAGGTACTGTTCCAAAATAATTCCATAACGTGCATTTCTTTCTGTCATTCAAACATGTGCCATTGACCAAAAACGATCTTAGATTGTTGGCTCCATGTCAGGGTTATAAGCAGGGTTTTAGTTGCAATTATTACTTATTAGATTTATTAGTGGTATTCTAACATCAAACTATCATGTTTCAGACCCAGTTTTTAGTTTGGCATGCTCCGCCGTATATAGGGGTGGTACAGTACGTCGGGGTGGTGAAGAGGAAAAAAGCGGTATATTGCGAGATGTAGGGAGAGGGAGAGTGAGAAAGAGGGAAGAGAGAGAGAAAGAGAGTGAAAGAGAGAAAGTATGAAATATTAAGAGAAAAAAGTGAGAGTGGAATATAGATAGATACGTAGATAGATACATAGATATAGAAATAGAGAGAGAGAGAGAGAGAGAGAGAGAGAGAGAGAGAGAGAGAGAGAGAGAGAGAGTGAGAGCGATAAAACCGTCAAATGAAGATAATGAGAAATAGCGTGTCAGAGTGGGAATGAATGAAATATTAAGAAAAAAAAGAGTAATAGTGTAATTAAGATAGATATATACATAGATATATAAAGAGAGAGAGAGAGAGAGTGAGAAAGAATGAGGAGAGGAGAGATGTAAAACCTACAAATGAAACTAATGAGTAATAGCGTGTCAGAGTGGGAAAGAATGAAGTATTAAGAGAAAAAAAGAGAGTATAGACAAATAGACAACTATATAGAAAAGAGAGAGAGAGAGAGAGAGAGAGACAGAGTGAAAGATAGAAAGTGGGAGAAATAGCGTTACAGAAAGGGAAAGTATGAAATATTAAGAAAAAAAAGTGAGAGTCGAATATAGATAGATACGTAGATAGATACATAGATATAGAAATAGAGAGAGAGTGAGTGATAGTGAAAGAGAGGAAGTGGGAGAAATAGCGTTACAGAAAGGGAAAGTATGAAATATTAAGAAAAAAAGTGAGAGTCGAATATAGATAGATACGTAGATAGATACATAGATACATAGATATAGAAATAGAGAGAGAGTGAGTGATAGTGAAAGAGAGGAAGTGGGAGAAATAGCGTTACAGAAAAGGAAAGTATGAAATATTAAGAGAAAAAAAGTGAGAGTCGAATATAGATAGATACATAGATAAAAAAATAGAGAGAGAGAGAGAGAGAGAGAGAGAGAGAGAGTGAGAGAGAGTGTGAGAGAATGAGAGAGGAGTAGAGAGCGATAAAACCGTCAAATGAAGCTAATGAGTAATAACGTGTCAGAGTGGGAAAGTATGAAGTATTAAGAGAAAAAAAAGAGAGTATAGACAACTATATAGAAGAGAGAGAGAGAGAGAGAGAGAGAGAGAGAGAGAGAGAGAGAGAGAGAGAGAGAGAGTGGGAGGGAGAGAGAAAGAGAGGATTGGAGAGAGATAAAACCTAAAAATGAACCTACTAATGAGGAGTAGCGTGTCACAATGGGAAAGAATTAAATATAAAAAAGATAACAAGTGAGAGTTTAGTATGTACAAATAGATAGATAAAAAGAGAGAGAAAGCAAGTGAGAGAGAGAAATATAGTGAGGAAGTGAAAGGTGAGTTTGTACTCGTGTCGAATGTGGAACAGTTTAGTTATATCTGGCAAAATTTGGGTAAATTCTTTTTACAATTTACTTACCTAAAACACGAAACATTATTAATCTAAAATACAATAAAATGAATCAAAATTTAGAAAAATCTTTTGCTTTAAATGTTGTTTTATAATTATTTAAAATATAAATATTTTGTGTGTGGGTTTGAAGGGAAATTATTTTACGGTAATTTACGATAATTTTTTGTATAAATACATAAAAGGAATTGCTTCATCATATTGTATAAAGAAGTGTGCGTTTCCAGAGTGTCATTGTTTGTATTTGAACGTGTATTTAGTAGGTTTATTACAAAAAAGAAATCATTTATACTCTCATTATATATTGTGTCTGTGAAATTTAATAATTACCAGCCCAAAAATATATTAATGTTTAAATGTTTTTCCATGAAACCGGTTAGGTTTTGCCTCTCTTCAAAGGAAGAATTTTTCACTTATTTTTTTCGTAGTTCTTGGTACAGCAGCAATAATAACTTATATTATAAGTTATAACTTTTCTAAATTACACAGATAGAAAGTGTTGTAGAATGTTTTTGCTTGTTATGAAGGGTCATGTCTCTTGTCTAATGCAGATTCCCTGAAGATTAGAAGGAAAGGGAGAGACCATCATCATTAAGGGTTACTTAAGCCGACGGCTTGTATTACAATAACGCATCTTTCGCCATGAGCGCGGAGTAGCACCTTTTCGGGTCAGCACTTCTACTTTAATATTACGACCTTGTTCTCAGCTACCTACTCCAAACAAAAATGGCACAAATGGGCTGGAGAATGGCCGGGGCTCTTACCAACTATATTTACGATATTGCTGTAAACGGCGTACTTTTTTTTATTAAAACTAATCCCCGTCCCGTGGAATTTTAAAATTGTTTTTAAATATAAAACTAAGGTTTCTTTTTGTGTGTTCCAGGCGAAATCCAACAGCAAGAAGGGCAGGAGTGTACAATTTGCAATCAATCTGAGGGGAGTTACAGTGATAGAAAGTGATACGCAAACACGGCTTATGGATATCTCTCTCTACAGGTACACGAAATCCTTATGTTATTTTATTAGCCCAAAAACATACATAAATACGAAAAAAAATATAGTGTGTGTTAATATGAATATGCGCTAATTGTGTCAGTGAGAAAGAAAAATTTGTAAACTTATGAAAATTCTTGTGTATGTTGTTTTGTTCATTATTAACAAACAATTAGCGAATAACTCTGTGCCTCTTGACAAAGACAGCATAAAAATTTTAAATTCTCAACCCCTACCCATTTAATTTGACGAATAACGGACAGGAACAAAAGAAAATCTGCAATCGTCTGCAAGTACGACTTTATAAAAGAGACTTGACTTTACAAAAAACACACAGACACAACATTGAATGAAACGCGCAGCCAGACCAACTCAGCCGATATAGGCAGTTTTACAATATTCTTAGAATTAATTAATCTTTATGTAAGATATTGGTTGAGATAAAAAAGTCAATGTCACGAGCGGGATTCGAACCCACGACCTTCAGCTAAATACGCCGTTGCTCTACCACTTGAGCTATCGTGACTTTGATCCACTCGGACACTAACTTCCTATCTCAATCTATTTTTTGAATTTTCCCTCCTTTTTGCCATATTTGAAGTGGATGACTTTTTTATCTCAACCAATACCTTACATAATTAATCAATTGAAAAAGGTTATTCAGTCAATCGGACCACGAAATCTAATGGATTTAATATGCAAAATGAAGTATATCTTCACTAAAGCTCTCCCTGGCCATTTCATTTGTCGGTAACAATCAAATAGATTACACGACATTTGAAAAATGGGAAAAAGGAGGGAAAATGCAAATGGTGGGTTGAGATAGGAAGTTAGTGTCCTAGTGGATCGAAGTGATCTCGAGTGGTAGAGCAGCGGCGTATTTAGTCGAAGGTCGAGGGGTCTCCCTCTCGTGACACTGACTTTTTTATCTCAACCAATACCTTACAAAAATATTAATTCATTGAAAGAAGTTATTTGGTCAATCGGACCACGAAATCTAATGGATTTAATATTCTGAGACTTGGGTGGCGTCGGTGGCCGTAGCGGTTTAGGCGTTGACACGGCGCTCATCACTGTAAGGTAAAGGTCCCGGGTTCGAATCCGACATACTTACAATTTTCAAAAATACCAGCACCCCGAGGGTTATAAACTTCAGCTGTTGCGAACCCTCGAAAAAAAATCTGAGACTTGTTTTGGAAACGTTTATACCCAATTAGCAATATAAAAATAATCTGAGGTTGTGTGTGAATGTAATTTATTAGCGCGAATGGAAGGACTGAGGTAAATCGAGTACTCTGTGAATGAGTGTGAATGTATGTACTACTGGAAGGGCTTATTCGCCATTACTCCGAGGTATATCGAGCTCTAGCGTAGAGAGTCAGTGGTATTTATTAGCGCGAATGGAAAAACTTATTCCCAACTACTCCAATGAATATCGCGTGCTTGAAGTAGTATGTGTTCTACATCCCTTTAACTTACAGCACATTTAGTGTGAATGTAACATATAAGGGCGCATGGAGGTTTATCTCCTCTTACCTCGAGGATTATCGAGTATTCTGGAGTCGTATGATACGTAATCGTATTTTATCTTGTTTCTAGTCTATGTGTATTTGTGTTGTTTTATTTTTTATTCTATCTAAAAGATAATGAAAAGAGAGATCCGGTTACCGTTGTACTTGGTCTGATCACTATATGGCTGGTGAGGCTGGTGATGCAGGAAAAAATTACTAAGATACGTAAAAAAGGCAAAAAAAAGCGAAAAAAAGAGAACACTAGAGATGGCCAATTCAGTTTGATGACCCTAAAACTAATAAAAAAATTCCAAGTACCGCTCAAACCCTGCCACGAGTTGCATCGTGATTAAAATGAAGGGTTAATTTGAAAGAACTTACTTAATTATTAACTAACTTACTAAATTATTCATTTTTCATTCGTTCTTTTTTCTCTCGTTATATTGAAGAAACAAGAATTCTGAGAGTAACCTTGACTTGTTGGTCAAAATTTGCCTAATTGATTTAGCAGTTATTCAAGAATATAACATGCGACAATTTTGCTCAATTATGGAATGCACAATTGTTTTATTTTTTCAGGATATCCTACTGTTCGGCGGATGCCACCTACGGCCATGTTTTCGCCTTCATTTCCACAAACGAGAACGACTCACTTACCTGCCACGCCTTTCTGTGCTCAAAAAGGAAAATGGTATGTACAAAACATTAATAATTATAATGTATTTAAACTATTGTTTTAATTAGGACGGCGTAGTATCATTCGGATAAAATAGTCGCATTTAGATGCCACTAATTCCATCTAAGTGTCATTGCTAGTTAAACGTGAATGGAACATAAACGTGGGTATAGAACAACGAGAAGAGAACCCTTAATGCCCTTAATAACAATAAACCATCATATTAAAACGAAACATTTAAACAATTTTAACAAATCTTTTATTTTAAATAATAAAATCCTAATCCACCTTTAGAAAAAATTTCACGACTTACAATCAGTTGAATCCACAGATGGAACCGAGTAAACGCATATAATAAAGTGTGATAAGTGACGTCCAGTCAGCAATAATGGCCAAATAACTCTGATAACAAAATATTCATAAGCATTTCGGATCGCTGTTTTTAATAAAAACTTTTCTTGTGATACTTGACCAAAAAATATTAGACTCATGTCTGTGCATTCTTGCCAATGAGCGAGCAGTAGAGCCGAAAAAAATATTTTTACTGCTTTAAATATTTATTAGTTTTTAATATGATTATTTGTCTTGTTTGTTCATATATTTCAAGGTCAATGTTTATCTGTCATTTTTTTCTGTGGGGAAAAGAAAATAATATCCAGGATAGTATTCATTAAAAATGTATATACAAAAAGCTACAAAAACAGAATACACCTGCGATAAATAAGTCGATATATCTGTTTTTCAATAAACAATGTGAATAATATTTTTGTTCCTACTGTCAAAAAAAAAAAAAATTAATCTGCTGGCAAAATATTTGTACCTACAGCAATACTTACAACAAATAACTATTTTGAGACCTAGCGACTTATGAACTGAATAAAGTTTAAATTAAAAAATAATTTTTCCCTCAAACAATTTTTTATACTCCAATGCTTCCGATTTTTTCAAAACTAAAACAAAATTGTGGAAATTTTGAATTCACATTAACCCTCAGGGTATTTTATGATGATTTAGAGATGTTTTTGTCGATTTTATCCTTATTATTCATTTATAAATTATTTTAACGCTGTTCTCATGGCTGAAAATGAATAGGCTCCGACAGTTTAGGAGCCTTAAATTTTGATAAGATCAAGAGTAATTTTTAATGAATCATACAATTTTTAAAAGCAACCCCCAGGCCAAAAAACATTATTTATTCATTATTTCCTATAAAAATCGTATTTAATAAAGGCTTTAAAATCTGCTGTAATCGAATCTGAATTGTAAAAAAATGTACCTGGAATCTTTTTTATATATTAATTTCACTGGATACGGTTATGCTCGTTATTTTCATATCCTAGTTTTAAAAAAAATCGATTAATACGTAAAAACCTGAAAATGCAAAACCAACAATGGCAAACTATCATGTTTAAGAAAATGTGAATTATTTATATATTTTGTCCTGTATTTTTGCCTAAGGGCCAATGCCCATGGCTAATGTTTTACAACTTAGTTCATATTTCACTAATTACTCGTTCAAGGTTTAATTAATCTAAAATTGCTTTTGTTTGCTACTTTGAAAGGTTAATAATGACTTTGGGATATTTTAACATAGATTAGTTTTGTATGTAAAAAGCGAGAAAAATCGGACTCAGATATCGCAAAGAACGGTAAAATTGGTACACTTTATCTTTTTTTTTTTTTTTTTTTTTTGTCGAATACAATGAATTGTGTCAGTAAAAACTTGATAATTTGAAGGTTAGTTTAAGTGGAAAAATGGCCAAATATTTAAAACAATGACTATAAATACTTATTTTTGTAAAGAATGGTTCTTAAAGGTGGTAAACTGTAACAACCATCCTTTACAAAAAGTTAAACGAAATACTGATATTTTGATTTCACTCAGTTTCATACTTTTCTTCTATTTTTTGTCGTAATATCACTAACAAAGATTGAAAAATCTTTCGTATTTTAAAATATACTACTTTGTTTGTAAAAAAGAAAAAGAGATTGGTCCCAGATGTCGCAAAGAACAGTCAAATTGATACAATAGATAATTTTGTTTTTTAGACCTAAATAGTAGTGAATTATTCAATGAAAAATTAAGTAGTTTAAAAACCAATTGAAATGTAATAAAGACAAAATAAAACAATTAAAACTATATATTATCATATTGTGAAATAAAGTCAGTTTTTTCAACTTATGGTCAACTTCTGCCTCAGAATTTTGAATTTTAAAGAAAAATGTGTTGAGACATTTCAAAACTGCAAGCTCGATAAAAATTCCAGTTGACATTATTCATCAAATCGTTTATATTTCCAAGGCATTAATAAATAATTAATTCACAATAGAAGCCGTCATAGTAGTTTAATATTTGTATTATCTCAGAGCAACAATAATGCTTTAATAGTTGTCTAGACTTTAACAAAATCTTATTTTTTTAATCAAAACATTGTTAGAAAATATGTTTGTTTTTTATATTAGAATAACGTGAGATTTTTCCGTGTGGTTTGCTGGGTTATGTTAATTTAAAATTAAATGAACCACATTGACATGCACAATGAAAGAAACAATTAGGAATTAAAACAGGAATTAATTGAACACCATAAACAAATTTCAATTAATTAAGGTTTTTAGTTGAGATAAAAAGTCAGTGTGACGAGCGGGATTCGAACCCGCGATACGCCGCCTACTTGGCTATCGTGACCTTGATCCACTCGGACACTAACTTCCCATCTCAACCCCACCTTTTGAATTTTCCCCCCTTTTTGCCATTTTTTAATCGAATTTATTTATTATTTTTTATGTAAAAATTCTAGCATTGTATAAATTCATTTTTTCACATGCTACATATATTTGGAAGATGTAAATAATGTTTATAAATCCCAGGCCCTGAAGATGATTTCAATAAAGGTCGAAGCGTTAGCACGATAAAGAAAATGTTTTTCTAAAACCTACGTTAAACCAGACTACAGCTCACGATCTCCAAATAATAATTGACTAACGGTCACTAAACACCACACAAAATATAAACTTAATAGAAAAAGCGTAAATTGTTTATTGCCACAAATGTCAACTTTCTTCAATTTTTTTTAAATTTACAGCCCAGAAAATGATGCTGCCAATTGTATTTTCTTTTCATTTTCGTTACGGGCCCTCTGCCCATCATCAGAAAGTCCTGACGTTTTATTATATGTAATAAACATTAGTAATTAATTATTCTTTATTATATTCATTTTAATTATTAAATACATTATATTTCGAAGGTCGTGGGTTTGAATCCCCGTCGTGACACTGACTTTTTTTTATCTCTAACAATACCTTACAAAAAAATTAATTAATTGAAAGAAGTGATTTGTTAATCGGTCCCACGAAATCTAATGTACTTATCTGAACGTTTTAAAATTTTGTAGAGAAGACGATCAAGAGTGTTATTAAAGTATAAAACAATCAGCTAATTCGAGTCGGAATGGCATGCAATATAAGCGCGGTTGTTCACGAGTTTAAAATACGATCCAGATGTTGCCAATAACAATAAAACCCACCTGCAGGTTATCCGTCCCTCGATCAACTACCAAATAATGATAATAATCATTAATGCGTCTAATCAGAGCGATAAAATATTCATTGCCGATAAATACTAAAGAATTACTTCCAGGAAGCGTTTTGTGAACTGATAATCACTGTATGCAAAAAAATTAAAATTCCTCTTTGGATTTAATACTCATCTACAAATGTGAACAACATAACTCTGCGGCATAACAACTTTGTGAGGGTTAAGTAATGCTGCGCCGTACAGAAATATGTTTCGCTATTAACAATCTATCTAACAGAACCATATAATTAAATGGATTTAGAAAGATTAGGTTTTCAGTTTTAAACAAAAAATATAAAAGCCAAATAGCAATGTTTTAACAACAGTTATTATTGGAGATCGTGAGGTGCGTTCTGCTTTGACGTAGGCTTTAGAAAAACATTTACTTTATCGTGCCAACGTTTCGATCTTTATAGAGATCATCTTCAGGGCTTAAAGTATTTTCCGTGTAGATGTGTCATTCTTGTGTGTCGTGTTGAGATTGTTTTATCAACAGTTTTTAAAATTTTTGACGTTAATAACAATTAATTTATAATTATATGTAATAATAAATAAATATTATTGAAAATTGGTATGAGCACAATTTAAACAAAAAGGACGACAGTTTAAACTTGCATTATTGTGTTTATAATAAAAATCTTTAGTGTTTTCCTGCTATCTAATTTTTTTAGAACATTTTTTAGCACTATTAGAATAAGATAATGCGTCAAGTTTTGTATAATACGGTTTCCTGTCAGCGTCTACTGTATGCATCAAACGCAAAGTTTATTCAGTAAACTTTCCACATTAATTGGCGTACTTTGCTTCAAAATATCCTTCATCCATCTCTGTTGTTTTATGTAATATGATATTTTGTCTTCCTGAAAAAAAGAGTTTTTAACAAACCGCTGCTTTTGTTAGCAACTTACCGGGTAGAAGTTTTTGTTTTTCGGGCGCACTGACGTGTTGTCTTGTTAATTTTCTTAAGGGAAGCCAGGTTGACGTCGAAGTAAAGTTCAACCCGTTTAAAAACAAAGTCTTGAATTGTGAGCGATGTTGAGAAGTCGGCTAGTTCCTTTGGGGTCAGGGACCCCGGCGGGCGAACTTCCTGGACAAAACATAGACATAAGTTGGCGAAAAACCAATGTCTTCCTTTCAAATACAAATTAACCAGACGTTGTGATGAAATAATACAATATGCTAATAGAAAAATAGAAGAGAAACATAAAGATCCGGTCATTTTTTTCTCCAAGCTTCACTGGTGACCATAGACTCTCTTCGACAGCGACATAAAAGATCAATTGTAAAATTAAACGTTTATTTCCAAACCACAAAATGTACTTTTTAAAATAGTTAACACTTTCGGAATTTCCTATTCACTTATTTCCTACGCAGTTAGTATCGCTTTTCCTATGTCGCTATACCATGTCCCAGGCTAATACTTATCAGAAAATGCAGTTACAGCCAGCAAAAAAAAGTTGGCCAGTAAACGCGCCTAAGATTTTCGTTAATGATTATTCGTAAATCGTGAGATGCGGTGTGGTATGACGTACGTTTTAGAAAAACATTTTCTTTATCGTGCCCACGTTTCGATCCTTATTGAGATATCTTCAGTGCTCAAAGTGTTTGTTTTCCGTGTAGATGTGTCATTCTTCTGTGTCGTATTTTTCTTCATTTTTGTCTGCTAAAAGATATGTTTGGTTTTTGTTTTCTTCCTTTTTAACACGATTTATTGATAGTTTTTTACCTGGTGAGTTAACAAGAGTGTTGTTTACATGCCAATTTGTGGTTGTGCTCATTGAATCAGCTGGTTTACTAGTTTGTCACCCTTTTCGCTGTTTTCAATCCCCTAGTGTGCAGGTACCTACATCAGAGTTTTTAAAAATCTTTTTGTATAATTTTTGTGCGCAGAGTTCTATTGCGTGGATATGAAAATATGTAGATGGTGTGAGGCATAGAGGGTTTGCTGGGTGAAAATTTGGTTTTATATCCTGCCCTAGTCCATCTTCCATTATGTACCATAATATGGCACATCTTTTAGTTTTAAGGTATTTACTCTTCCAAACATTTTTTTTTCATTTGTAAAGGCCTGTCAAAATATGTTTTTAAATTCCATTTCGCCAAACATTTTGGTAGCAATTTCATTTTTTATAGCTTTTATTATTTCAAGATGGCTTACTTTTAGGTCGGGTTTTATTTTATTTTGTCCTAAATGTATGTTTGAACTTTAGTATGCCATCCTTTGGGTGTATGCTTGCAATGTTGGCAATTTCAGGGCCTCTTCCATAGCAGGATTTGCTCAAGAATGAATTTCTCTTGTAATGTTTAAATATGCAAAGCTTTGTAATTTTAGTTTTAAGATTTTTGTTCAACATACAACATACTCCGTATATGACTAGAGGATTAATATTTGTATTAGACCAGCCAGTACGCTATTTTTATATTTATAATCAATGTTATACTCTAAAATCTTTAACCCACAGTTGTTATAGTTTTTTCTTTTTCTGTACGTTTCTTCCAGGTATGTTTGTGATGTAGTATTATACCTACATACTTCGTTTCCCAGAAGAATGTTATGTATACTAGGTTTTTAACATAATAATAAATTTTGTTTTGTTTTGAAAAGTGAAGATCTTTTCTGTCCATTTTTAAAAAGCAAATCTCACAAATTTTATGGTTGAATTATTTTTGAAACCATAATTTCGAATATTTTATGTCATTTTTTATATTTGCCAACCGTATAGAAATAGTAGGGAAAGTTTTTTTTTACTAAATAGTTGCAAAGTTCTGATGAAAATACGTCCAAAGTTTGTTGAAAGAAATGAGTGTTTTTGTTTTTAAATTTACTTTATCCCCGCTTTTTAATATATAACTTTAATTAATTATTCTTTTTAAGTAAGGTCTTGGTTGAGATAAAAAAGTCAGTGTCACGAGCGGGATTCGAACCCACGACCTTCGTACGCCGACTTTTTTTATCTCAACCACTTAAAAAGAATAATTAATTGAAAAAAGTAACTTGGCTAATTGGCCACTGAAACATAAATGGATTTATGCTTTTAATATTTAAGCTGACCACACCAATTTAATTAAAATTATGAACAAAAAATACACGGAATAAATACGCCGACGACACAATAGAAAATATTGTGAAATTTCAAGGTTATTATATTATTATAAAATAATTCCACTTCGATAAATATGTAGGAAAATAAGCGAGTATGCTGTTATACTGGGTAGAAAAGGTCGTACATTAAAAACGAAAATTTCCATCATCAATTTTACCAAGTAAAATAAACCTGTTGAAAATATACTCATGAATCATACGAAAGTGGTTGTTTTTATTTTGTTACAGGCTCAGCTCATATCTATAACCGTAGCGCAGACTTTCAATACGGCTTTTCATCTTTGGCAGATGACGCACAACGGGATGATGCCTTCGATGAAGGAGAAGAGCATGGACAACTTCATCACAGGTATCTCGAAAAGCGTGTCCCCCCATAAAGCCCGAGTGCCAATGAAAATTTCCCGATAAAGTACTTTTCGGAGGGCCGTAAAAATAAATCACCCCCTTTATCTATTGTTTGTTCTCGCCCTTCGCCGTTTTACGTCCCCGGCCCCGATTCACACGGAGGAAAAGACTGAATTAGTTTTTCTAATTTTGCCCCCAGGTTGCATCAAGAGCCGGGATGCCGAGGAAAATCGGCCGACGAACGTGATTCAACAAGTCCTGGCCCCGATCCCGATGCTGATAGATCTTACGACCCCGATATCGGAGAAACCACCGAGACAATGGGTAAGCGGATTTAATTTAATCTTTATCTACAAGGATCAATGTACGATGATAGCAACTTTTAATTAAAACCAGCCTTTACGAAATCTCTGATAACACGATACGATTAACTACAACGATCAAATCGCACTTTTGTCCGAGCATCCCTGAATACTTGCCCTACAGAGAATTTAATTAAACAAATTAAATTCTTTTAATGAAACACTCTATATAAATACATCCCGATTAAAATAAAATGTTAATTTTAATTAAAACTCGTCAATTGAGAACGTACTGCTATAAGAATAACACACAGTTTATTCAATTTTAAGTACCGTCAAAATTACTTTTATTTTCAAGTCTTCTTCAATATTTTGTTTCCATTAAAAGTTTTGCATAAATGTTAGAAAAGTTAAACAACGCTTCTATATTTCCAACCAACGGGGGATGAATTAGTAGTAGCATCGGCTCTTTCAATAGTTTCAGACTAATGCTCTTTACATAGGAATTTAAACGACCTGCATAAACACACGTGCCTTCTATTTTATAACTGTCCTTGACCTTATTTTCGCATATAACAACTCGGCTAGCCTTGATCTCTAGTTACTTTCACAGGAAAAGTTCCCTTTTTCAAATCATAACTTTTGCAATCTTGGAAAAGTTTACTTTTCACCGAGATTGAAAACCCCCCTTTTGTTTCTGTTTATTGTTGTATAGATAATTTAACGTCACGGGATGGTCTTTTGCTGCGTAAACATGAACTGGGCAAAGTTTCAAGAATCAAAAATTGACGAATAAGAGATAAAAAAAGTCCTTTCTTTAACCCGTTGAAATTACAAAATCATGTCCTTACATAATTTATATTCATTACAACGCAAAATAATAAACTAAACTAAATGATGGTGTAGTCCAAATTAATAAAACATATCCATTATATTTAGTGGCCTATTAACCAAATAACTTCCTTCAATTAATTAATATTTTTATGTAAGGTTTTGGTTGAAATGAAAATGTCAGTGCCACGAGCGGGATTCGAACCCACGACCTTCGGCTAAATACACCGCTGCTCTAACCATATGAGTTATCGTGACTTCAATCCTCTCGGACACCAATTCCCCATCTCAACATACAACCTTTCATATTTTCCCTCTTTTTTGCCATTTTTCAAATTTCGTGTAATCAGGATTCGATTCTCGGCGACGTATGAAGTGGCCACGGGGAGCTGTTGGTGAAGTTATACGTCGTTTTACTTATTCAATCCAATACATTTAGTGATCTATTGACCGAATTACTTCTTTCAATTAATTAATCTTTTTATGTAAGGTTTTGTTTAAATTGAAAAAGTTAGTGTCACGAGTGGGATTCGAACGCACGACCTGCGGCTATACGCACCGCTGCTCTAATCATATGACCTATCGTGACTTCAATCCTCTCGGACACCAACTCCCCATCTCAACATATGTACAACCTTTCGAATTTTCCCTCCTTTTTGCCATTTTACAAATTTCGTGTAATCAGGATTACATAAAAAGATTAATTAATTGTAATAAAAGATATTTTGAGCTATACAAATATTTTTATTTGGAATTCTCAGTGTCCCGAGTTGTACCCATTTATAGAAACATCTATTTTCTGTGAAATGAATTTTTACGATAAAAATTATGATATATAACAACCTACTTTAACTATAAAACTTTAAGTATTGAGTTTATGATGTCAATTTGTTTTTGTTTCAGACAAGTTTCGATGACTAAGGAGCTGTGAATTATTATTATTACCACATTATTTAATACTGTTTTCTTTAATATAGTTGTGTCTGTGATTTAGTTTTAATTGATTTATTTTGAGTTTATTCTAGTGTACGTTAAATGTATGTTAAACAACAGGAACGTTGTCAATATTCAGTTTGTACTATGGTTTATTATACAAAACATTCATCTATACATATTTTAACTAATTTTCAGCATATAAACATGTTATTTCATTGATAACTGTTATTTATTGGTTTACAAAATGTTTATGATTTTTTCTACCAGCTGTAAAATACAATATGTTATTTTTTATAAAACGAACAATTTTTGTTTTTATTACCTTTTCCGATCATGTAGACCAAATCTTTATTTTCATTTAAAAAACCGTTTATTTCTATTTTAATACAGATTAAATTATATACCAATGGAATCCGGATTACAAGAGCTGTGGGAACAACATGTGGGAAAAATCAGAAGAATAAGTAGAATTAACAAAAAAAACAAAAAAACAACGATGTGATTGATGTTGGTGATTTGTAATTCTTCATTTCTCGTCCGATATGTTTTACAACATCCAACAGATGTGCGTGGGTCCTGGAGGAGATAATTTTTTCATATTAATAAAAACAGGGTATGGCGGGGGGAGAATGGAATTGCAACTACCCCCTGAGCAACCAAATATTCATGGTACCATTGGGATATTCAATCTAATAACATTTACGTTATTAATTTTTTTAATGTTCCAACAACATATCCACTTTGCAATCTTTAATCAATCGGTAAATGAAATAAAACCGCACGTTTTAAGTATGTACATGATTTAGGACAATTATCCATGTACAATAAAAGAGGAAAAAGGCGAAATTACCAATGTTTCCGTATGGTTTATGATAATTATTATAATAGTTTATTATTTAAAAACATTATTGTATACAACGTTGTTAATAGATAGGTTACATCGCCACTCTTATAAAATAAAATTTTATAAAGATAACGAAGCTGTAGAATAATAATAAAAAGGTGCAAAATTTGTGCTTACGTACGTAAGTAAGGTACTTTTTTTCGAGGGTGTTTTTGAAAAAAAGCCCATTCGCAAGTCTGGTCATAAGCAAATGCTGGGCCGCTGGATTCGAACCTGGGACCATTACCTTACAGAGTTGAGCGCCGTGTCAACGCCTAAACCGTTGCGGCCACCGACGCCCCAGGATACGTTGTTAAATTATTTTTGTAAACTGTGATACAAAGACTAGATTTTTTTTTTAATGGTTTAGTGATTTGAAGAAAAGCTTGTGTCTTTTTCTTTAATGAAAAGTCAGAAACAGACATTTCTTATAATAACCATTTTTCTCAGCGAGCGTTATTGCAGAAAATAATATAAAAAGGACTACCACAAAAAATATTTTTTTAGCCCATAAATTCTCAGGAAAAGGGCGCACTCTCTTTTAACATTTAAGACATCTCCATTTACTCAGTCCAGTGAACTGAATAAGTATTCCTTTAGAGGTCGACGATTGGGGTAGGTGTGGGGCCCCTGGAGGATGAAAGGGGAATTTTTTATTTTATCGGTTTCCATTGGATCACAATCACATTCTACTTAAAGGGACCTCTCCTGGTTTTTTTCATAAGCCCCGGGTCGGGTCTCTCTATTTATGATCGATTCGGCACAATTTTAAACCACCTTATTACAGTCAATAGTAACCGACGATGGCAGTCAGCAAAATAGGAAAAAATTGTATATTTTATAAAACTATTCAATAAAATTTTATCTATAACCTTCTGAGAATGTTTAACATAGATAAAACAGTACATTTTTCTACATATATGATATTTACATTCAACCTCATACCGAAATCAGGAACGGAATTTTCATCTTATAATAAAAAAAAGGTGTTTCTCAAGGCAAGATTCTTGATTCTTACATTTTCCATAATGTATTACAGACAAAAATTGAAGAGTGATTAGAAATTGTTCTGAGATTCAATCATTCTTACTCGAAATTTGCTTTTTTCGTATCCGAGAACATAACAACAACGAAAGATGTTTGAGTAAGAAATTAACTCGGTCTTGTATTTTGGTCGTTTTCAAATTCCTAGTCAGCATATCCCGGTGTTACGGACTGTCTGACTTGTAGAATTTAGCCATGTTCTGAAACAGCGAAAACGCCCAGTAAATCAGTACAGCTGGTTGAGTACGGTCTGCAGAGACATCTCCTACCTGAAATGTTACAATTGGACCACAAAACTTGTGGCGACGAGGCATTGAGTATTCGCTGCCTTAGCAAACTACATAACGTTAAAACCCAATAATTTTGATCAATTCTTGTACAGAGCAAGGACCGGAAGAGAGCGATGTTTTATGGAAATAGTCCCATATTGAAAAAAGATAAAGGGTGTTTTGCAGAGAAAGGAAGTGTGGAATTTTTTAATCTCCCGCCGACCCTCAGGAGACCATTCGAGCAGAAGAACAGCTATAGAGGAGAGAGACTTTTATCCGTTTTCAATTTTACGAGTTTGTTCCCATAACTAAATGAGTGATTACAATACAGATTCATTGAACTCTTCACTTCAGTTACATTAAGCGGTCCGAAAGAAGACTTTTTGTTTTGAGATTGTTAACGATTCTAAGAATGTAAGCCAGAGTAGAGTAAGAGCGTTGCAACTTTGAGAGAAATAAGAACTTTGAGAAATACTTGAGGAGGTAAGAATGAGCTGAATTGAGGGAGTTATCTGTAAATTATTCTGGTGAGAGATTGCTGTACATTTTATTTCACTCAGTTCAGAGGGAGGGAGGAGATTAGAAGGAGAATGCCAATGATGGGAAATTAAAAATTTTGGATCTTTGAGCAAGCATTCGTGGTAGAGTACCGGCGTATCAAGACGAAGGTCGTGGGTTCGAATCCCGCTCGTGACACTAGCTTTTTTATCTCAACTAAAAACCCTAATTACTTAAATATTCTTTCATAAATGCGTGGTGTTTAGTGACTGTTAGTCAATGATTATTCGGAGATCGTGAGATGCGGTCTGGTGTGACGCAGGTTTTAGAAAAAGATTTTCTTTATCCTGCCAACGTTTCGATCTTAATTGAGATCATCATCAGGGCCTGGGATTTATAAACGTTGTTTAAGTTTTACAAATACATGTAGGGTGTGAAAAAAATTTATACGATGCTAAAATTTTTAGTTAAACAAATGAATTTATACAGTGCTAGAAAATTTCAGATTAAAAAATGAATTTATACAATGCTGGAAAACTAAAATAAATTAATGTTCTAGCGTTGTATAAATTCTTTTTTTTAATCAAAAATTTTCTAGCATTGTATAACTTCATTTTTTTATCAAAAATTTTCTAGCATTGTATAAATTCTTTTTTTTCAGCTACAATTTTCTAGAATTGTATAAATTCATTTTTTTAATCTAACATTTTCTAGCATCGTAAAAATTCANCCAGACCCATCTCACGTTCTCCGAATAATCATTCTTTCTTAAAGTTTTTGTAGGGTTCTAATTTTTCGGAAGACTTTAATATACTTTTCTCCAAAGAGTAAAATGATTTTATAGAACTAGTTCCATTGGTAGAGAGGGAATAACAGCCAACTCGAAAGGGTAAGGGTTTAACATATTTCCAAGTTTCCATAAAATGGTCATCATGATCGTTTGGAATGGGAGCTGGCAATTCCTCTATTTTCCAAAACAGTTTTAAGAAATTTGAGTCAGCAGCTAGAGTGATAAACTGGTTGCCTTAGAGTTCTTGAGATTGACCAAATATTTCGATAACAAACAAGGGTCCTTCGACATTGCCTAGAAAATTAATTGCGCCGATGTGTCTTTTGGAGAGAGGAGATAATACTGGCTATCAGCCCGTTTGCGATTTTTAAATTTGTTAAGGATATATATAAATTCAAGACAAGTAGGGGTAGTAGCGTGTGGTGTTTAATATTAACGTTTTCAGGGTAATATTTTCAAACAGATACGAGATTGTACAGTGCAATTTAAAACACCATGGGGTTTAGAGAGAGAGAGGATTCGACGCCCGCTCGACAAACATGTTTCTACGAGAACTTGAAACCAAATTATCTGGCAAGTGAAAGAGTGTGACATTTGTGTCGGTGCCCAGTAGGGCTCGAACCGGTTGAAAGGTACCCTTTGATTCTTTTTCAAACGAACAAGCTGTGCCAAGCAAAACTACTGAACCCTTTTGGATTTTTCAAGGATTGATCTGATGGAGTAGAAAAGGAAGAGGAGATTGCTTGGTGACTTGTGTTGAGTGAACGACTTGGAGGTGGTGAGCTGAGTGTACGTTTTGTATCAGAGTGTAACAATGAGTGATGCCTGTTACTGTTGCTTTCACATGTTCCTTGAGAAATATACTCGGTGGTGAGTTTTTAAACAGTTAAAATACCTGTGAAGGCCTCGAGCTACTTCATAACGATTGCCTATATCAAAAGTTATGTGGAACATCTTGGATTTCAATGGCTGGATGAACATAAAGGACAAGATACTGACGTCCCTTTCTCTTAAGTGAGTGCTCTATGCGATAAAAGAAGTAAGAGGACTTTGTCTTCGGTTTTAATTTTCATAGAGGAAGAGCAATGTTTGAAAGTAATTCAGTGAGGAATGCAATCACTTTTTCATAACTGTGGATGGTATTGGAAAAATTGATATTTTCAAACGATTTGCGAGTTTGAGGATCAAGATTGTTGATAAAGAGTTGAAACAAACGACATTCAGAGAGGTTTTCAAGTTGTAACGATTTAAGAGAACTTACAAAATTTTGATGTACGTTTAAATATTTTTGAAGAGCGAGGAAAAGGAAGACGTTAATGGTTTAAAGTGCAGAATGTTATTTACTTTTTTATGGTACCTGTCTTACAGACATTGATAAGCAGATTTATAATTTTAAAAGGTGGATGAAAATCTGAAATGTCGCCGAGGGTGTCACCTTTTAGAAACAGTCGCAAGTATTGAAACTTTACACCTCAGACAGGGATTTATTTTGATTAACAAGTGAATTAAACAAATTCTGCCACTGTTCAATATTACCTGAAAAGGTGGGAACGTTGATTTTTGGAAGATTATGTTGTAAATTGTGAAATTCTATGGCATTTCTGGGATAGTTTTAGTAATTTAGGTACCAGAATTTAAATAGTCTGTTAGAAGACAGATCACCAAAAAAGTTTTGAGTTTAAGAAATTTCACGTTTATATTCCTCGTTTGATGGATTGGCATTGTCTAATTATTTAATTTTTCGAGTCCATATCCTCTTTTAGGATGCCAAATTTGCATAGAGGCTGCTAAACTGTGTAATTGGATTGATTTT